CGTTAAAAAAACTATCTTTGTGCCACTAAAACGTTCTTGTCTGAGAAAATCAGATTTGATTCAATAAAATATCTCGTTTATAAGTTGATTTTGATTGTTTTTCTTGACTTCTGATTCTTTTTTGGATATGGGGAAAATGTAGAGTTGATAGAGCTACAAACTTTTTTTCCGCTAAACGTGGAAAAAACTAGATTTTTGCTACTAAAACGTTTTCGTCTGAGAAAATCAGATTTGTCGTATCTGGGTCTCTCTTGGGTTCTATAAGAAAGGACATGATTTTCTTCTCTGATGATTGGTCAATTGCTTTGTTGTCTACTGGTTGCTCTAAACTGTGAATATAATATCATGAATCCACAATCAAACAAACAGAATGGGAATCTTTCCAGGTTAAATATTATTTGTGAATAGGCAACTTCCCTTGATTAATAAAACTCAAGTTAATGCGGATGGGATGTCTTTTGTGTAGAAGTTCAATTTGCTGAGATGTTACTAAGGTTGATCTTGTACATCATTACAGGGATGGGAAAGTCCTTGCTCGTACTGCGAACGGCAGAGGATTGGTTGGTGGACGATTCCGACTTGATTACCCGAGTGTTGGGGCAACCGAAACACTTATGATGGCGGCATCTATGGCTGATGGTATAACTGTGCTTTCAAATATTGCCAAAGTATGACTTGTGAAATCACATTGGATTTTCTAGTTTCTGATTTTTTGAGGGTAGACGCTTAAAATTGCTTTGTCTGATAAATGGATTCGGTTTTGCCACTTGTCTTCATCACAGGAACCAGAGGTGATTGACCTTGCTTGGTTTCTGAATAGTAGTGGGGCATGCATCGAAGGAGCAGGAAGTAACAAGCTAATTATTAAAGGAAAGTGCTGTTTACATGGTTCTGAGTTTGTTATAACACCTGATCGTATCGAAGCAGGAACCTTTCTGCTTGCTGCAGCAATTACTCGCTCGTGCCTCTCCATTTCACCTGTCATCCCATCCCATGTGTCATGTTTAATCGACAAACTCTCAACTGCTGGCTGCAAAATCAGAAAGTACGAAGATTGCACAATGGAGGTATCTAATGAATTCTTAGAAGTTTTCTCTCATTCGTTTCCTTTGCTATTTAAAGTGTGAGTTTAACCATTAATTGGCATTCCAGGTCTCAGCTGTCCCTGCAAACATTGGTTTCAATTTGCTGGCATTCGATGTTAAGACGTGCCCATTTCCTGGATTTCCAACAGATCTCCAACCTCAAGCCATGGCATTACTCAGCACTTGTAGGGGTTTAAGTGTAGTGGAAGAATCTGTGTTTGACAATCGAATGGGCCATGGTTCGTGGTGAATCAATCAAATAAACTTGCACTGGAAATCGATAATCATTTTCCCGTTTTGATATATCTATTAGCTGTCAACATCTTGAGTATATCAAATTAGTACTTCCTTTTTCTAATCTTTTTCCGTGATCTATAATTATGTCTTATACTTGTCTTCTCATTGGAACAGTAAGAGAACTAAAGAAACTTGGAGCAAGAATTCAGGTGCATGGAAGAACTGCACTGATTCATGGAAGTGATAAAGGAAGGTAGATTATATTTGCAACAAGGTGTTTTTCATATTTTTCTTTAACTTAGAATTATATTCATCATCTCTAAGTTCTTTTGCCAGTGCATTATATGGTTCTCGCCTTCTTGCAAGAGATTTGAGAGGCGGGATAGCATTAGTATTAGCCGGATTAGCTGCAGAAGGAACTACAGAGGTCAATGGCGTTGCTCATATTGACCGAGGTTACGAGAATTTAGAAGAGAAGCTTCAGTTTCTTGGAGCTGATATTAAAAGGGCAACTCCAGTTTCTTGAATTTGATTATGTTTCTCGTTAACATGGAGCCATATAGGAGCATATTACGGTACCTTTCCTCTGCCCTTCCTGATTACCTCCAACAAGTGGACATATAACCGGATATTATTGTAGCACCCAAAACTTGTAATGATGTGATATGAATATGGACCCTGTCCTTTGAGGGAATTCATGTAAATTTTCTTTGTGAACGTTGTTACTCAGCTAGCTCCTTTTGGTTACATTACCTTGATAGATGTCAGCGAGTATAGAGAGAAATGGTGCATTTACTTGCTATCTGGCGCATCTGTATGGAGGAAGAGAATGTTAGTTCTCTTCTTTTATGACCTCCTGAGCCAACAACTATATACACTAGTTTTTATATGCTTTTCAGTGTCAACTTGAAATGAAGATACACTCTGTTCCTTTTACTTGTGGTGATGATTAATCACGTTATAGTTTATGCATCATCCATTCTCCAGAAAGCATGATACCACCTTATCAGAAGTCTTATGATTTTGGACCTGAGAGAAAGAAAATAGATTTCTTGAGGTAAATATGATTTTTGGATGATATCATTTATGGAGAAAATGTCTATTCATAGGTTATAAATTGAAGGGAAGTAGGGACCGATTGGAAGTTGCAATGGCCGAATGGTTGGCAGGAAAGGCTCATTTTCTATTAGTTTCAGTCGGTTCTTCCTTGTTACAGCAACAAATATTAACCCTGATTGGTTATAGAGGGGAAAGGCTCTTTCGTCCCCCGCTTGCAAATTTCTTTTTGATGGGACAGTAACTATCTTCAATATCGGCAGAAATACACAGATCAAATAGAAGATATCACGTATTGTCAAATTTGGCATATAATCCCATAATGACATTAGCTGCTGGTTAAGGGAATGGACTAAATCAGAAATTTTTTCAAAACTACAAAGATTAACTTATCAAAATTAATAGTACAAAGATCAAATTATTATTTTAACCATTTATGAACTCATCTCTCTAAAATTAAGGAATAGAAGTATAAACTCAGACTAGAGTTAAAAGACAAATAATGTGATCAGTAATATCTTACATTAGTAATCCTCAAATGAAGTCCACTATTATTGATGAGAACAAAAATTCAAGTTTCATGGTATCTATAATGGAATGTGTATCAAAATATGCTATTAGTTTCGTCATCATCAATAAAATTTCGCAATCAAACACGTGCTTTATCAAGGCAGAGTACACCCATTATTACTTTTTCTCAAAACTAGAATTAGATCTCATTGTGTACTCAGCTACAAGCTGTGCAAAAGATGAAGACTTGTCTTCCAATAATCTGGATGGAGAATTATATTCCTCAGTAAGACCTGCATGAAGATCAAAATTGTCAAGGAATGCTGAATAATAGCGACAAACTCCAAATGAGAACTAAGAAAGAATATGGCTTCCTAACCATTACTTAGAAGCAGAACCATGTCACTGTCAAGTACAGAAGTTATTCTGTGGGCAATGGTTATGAGGGTACATTCAGAAAAGTATCGATGAAGGGTATGCTGAATTAGATTATCAGTTGCAGTATCGACGGATGCAGTGGCTTCATCAAGTATCAACACCTTACTTTTCTTAAGTAGTACCCTTCCAAGACAGACCAGTTGCCTCTGACCCATACTCCAATTCTCTCCATTCTCAGTTACTGCAAAATCATCCGATAACATGCATAAAAAAATTAACTTTGTAAGGTTTAACATTTTTGGTTAGCCTAGCATGTCTAGATAGAAAAAAACAAACCTAGTGAATCTAGCTTCCTTTCCTTCTTCCTAACTTCATCTCCAAGCTGGCACTTATCTAGAGCCTAAAACAACCGAACATTTGTTAGCAAGTGATAATGATACTCATTTGCTAGCCAAAAAGGAATGTAGAATCTTGAAGAATAATAGAAAACCAAACTACCTTCCAAATCTGCACATCTGTGTACTCTTCAAGAGGGTCCAGATTGCTTCGAACAGTGCCTTCAAACATGGTTGGATCTTGAGGAATAATGCTCAGCCTTGATCGTAGATCATGCAATCCAATAGTTGAGATATTTATGCCATCTATCGTAATAAAACCAGCTGAAGGTTCAACAATTCGGAAGAGTGTTTGAATGAGAGTCGATTTACCACTTCCTGTCCTTCCTACAATTCCAGTTTTCATCCCTCCTTGAAAAGTGCAAGTTAAACCTCGTAACACAAGTGGCATATGTGGGGCATAACGAACCTAAATGGTATCCAAAATAATGATTAGACAAAGGAAACAAAATTTAGCAACATTACCTAATAAAAAAGGAAGAAAATTTACCTGGAGATTATAGATACCAACTTCTCCTTGTTCAGGCCAGGAATGGCCAGGTTGATTTTCTTCTATCAGAAGAGGTGGCTCACTAGGAATGTTCATGTATTGCAGTACTCTTTCAACTGATATAATTTTATTCTCGAGATTACAAAGATTCCATATCAGCGATGCTTGATAGATATTTAAATTGAGTCCATAAGTCACAGCTAAGCCTGCAAAGCCTTTAAAAGGAGGAAAAAGAAACACATGGTTTCACAAGTCTCATTTTCTCGGTGATTTGTTGTCAACGAAAGGGAGTAAGATAAGAAAAAACAGCAGCCCAATCACTCACTTGGATCAATAACTCCATCTGGAATAGAGATCAAGAAAATCAAGGAGAACAAAAATGTGATAGAAGATAGCATGTTCAGGCGGAGGCATAGCCATTCCATTGCACCTGCACTATGGAACAATGGCCGAGAATAGGCATCAACGAGCTTCATATTGGTGTTGCAGAATCTTGTCTCTTGATCAAAGCTCCTGATAGTTGTTGATCCTGAAATCGTTTCAGTAAAATGCTGTATCACAGGAGCTTTAGATACTCCAACCAATCGCGAAAGCTCTCGTGCTGAAGATATGTAATATTGCTGCATGGTTGTAAGCTTGTAAAATTAGCAGTTAAGTATGATATGCTTAGAAATTAAAACTCTCAAAGAGAGTGAATCCTCAATTTAAGCTGTCTAAGGAGGCCATGAAGATTACCTGGTACCAGATGCTAGTAGCAATGACAGGGATAAAAACAAGGAAAACCTGCCATGCAACCTGAGACATCACTGCGATGATGCCTAGGAGCTGGATTGTAGCGAGGGCAAACCCCCCAACTTGATACGGAATGGTCATATCTAAAGCACTTTGGTCCGTTGAAGCCTATAATAATAGAAAAAAAATTGGGACAAGTACATGAAAGAAAAACAGACTATTAAGTTATCATACACTGCAAAACAAGGTAGAGGTAAATGATCAATATAAACATATGGGACAATTGAAGAAAAGACCTATGTTAAATGATCAATATATAATTCACTTACCCTGCTCAGGATTCGTCCACTTGGGGTGGCATCAAAGAAAGACATGGGGGCTCGGAAGATGCACAAGTGCATTTTATTAAAGAGTAGAGTTGCAGCTTTGTACCCAGCTGTTACAAGAAGAGTGGTTCTTGCAAGGCTGCAAAAAGAACTTCCAACTGCCAAACCTATATACACAATTATAAGCGTAGAGTTCTTAACTGCGGGTTTCATATCTGCAGAAACCGGAGTTGCCCAGGCCATCCAATAGTTGCTTCCTATTTGAAGAGCCAAAAAGAGAATCTGTGCCAACAATATAAAGGGCACAAGAGCTCCTCCATATGCTGTTGTGATATATTTCCAATGAACGGAAAGCCCAACTCTACCTTTCTCTCTCTCTTCTTCTTGAATGAGCTGTCCTTTTGGCCCAGCTGAATCAGCTGTTTGGCTACTCTGAGTTTCATTATCTTCATTCTGCATATTTCCATTAGCAATACTCACACCGCCATCGTCTTTACTGCTATTTGCATTTTGGGAGACGGATCCTTCCTCGACGGAGTCAAAGGCAGACATTGCTTTCTTATGTGCAGATACTAGTTCAATAAAATCAGTTCCTGAACCAAGAAGATCTTGATACATCCCAGCCTGGGTAATCCTTCCATCTTTCATAACCTAACAAGAAGGTTCAAATCAAAATTCCACTAGATTGATACTTTGACATTGAAATAAATAAAGGAGAAAGTTTGATATGAACTACTTACCAAGATTAGATCAGCAGCAGGTAAGAACTCAACTTGATGAGTAACATAAACCACTGTTCTTGAACTCAAAAGACCCAGTAGAACTTCCTACACCAAAGTAAATAAACAAATATGATATAGGAGAAAACTACTCATTTGACAAGCAATAGGAATACAATGTGAAGCAGGAAGAAAAGTAAAAACAGCACTACCCCTGATAATATTTTACCTTAAATAGATGGGATCCAGTATGTGCATCAACAGCACTGAAAGGATCATCAAACAGATAGATATCAGCGTCTTGGTAGAGAGAACGAGCAATCTGTATTCTTTGCTTCTGACCACCGCTTAAATTTATTCCTCTTTCCCCTATGATTGTCTGGTCACCAAACGGGAGAACCTCCAGGTCCTTCTTTAGGGAACATGCATCAAGAACCTTATTATAAAGTCCCCTCTCCAACTCCTTGCCAAACAAAATATTCTCTTGAATCGTGCCACTTTGAATCCAAGGAGACTGAGCAACATAAGCTTTTGTTCCGCATACCCTAAGAGTACCTGAAATTTTTGGTACTTCTCCCAAGATAGACGATAACAAGCTTGACTTACCTGATCCAACAGTGCCACAAACAGCTACTCTCATGCCATGAAACACTTTGAAATTTATATCTTCCAGAGTTGGATTAGGGGACAACACATCCCAGGAGAATTTTCCATCAACCATTTCTACTGCTGTCTCTGAAAGACCTCTAGGAAGTTTCTCTACAACATCAGCCTGTAAGTCATCAAGACGAAGGAACGATGCAATTCTATCAAGAGAAACCTTGGTCTGAACCATCATTGAAATTGTGTCAGGAAGATTATAGATAGGCTGTTGAAGAATTCTGAATGTTGCAAGTGCAGATAAAATCTTTCCTGACTCAAGTGGGATTCCCAAAAGGATACAAGCACCAAATGTGGATACAGATACAAAAATTGGTGCACCCCAGAAAACAAAATTTGTAAGAGCCAAAGAGTACAGAAATTTTTTTAGCCATCCAGTCTCAACATTCCTCAGCTCTACAATCTTAGACAAGAACTTCATTTCCCATCCCTGAAGCTTGAGAATCCTCATGTTCCTTAAAATTTCGGATGTCACCTTCATCCTTTTATCTTTTGATTCCATCAAATTATCCTGAAACTTCTCTTGAAATCTTCCCAATGGCAAATTCAACAACATAACAATTATGGTTGAAATTAAAGCCGCAATTGATGCTAGCCCAAGATTTTTATACAAGATCGCCAAGGCCAAAGCAACTTGCAAGACCACTATCCATGAATCATGCACGTACCAACTGAAGTCACCAACCCTCTCTGCATCAACTGTCATGAAATTAATGATCTCCCCACTAGAGTGACCTTGCTTTGACTGGCACGAGAGGGCCAAACCCTTGTTGTAGACCATTGCAACAAGTACAGCACGCATGGTAATTCCAACCTTCTGCAACCTAAAGAGCCAATGTCTTTGGCATAGAGACTCCACAAGCTTTGCAACAAAGAATGTTATGACCAAGACATACCCTTCATTTTTGTATCGCCTACGCCCATTGAGGTACTGAACAAAAGTGTCAATAAGATAGGGGCCAACATATGAAGCCACTGTATATACAAACGCTAAGAAAGCTGTCAAAAGAATTTCTTTCCAAACCGAAAAGAATAGTGCCTTGACCAGACTAAATATCGTAAATCTGCTCCCTTCACCCCTATCTGATCCAAGATTATCCCTAAAAACTGGAAATGCAGCAACCACACAATTACGGCAATCAAGTTGAGGAACATCCTCGAGGTCTAAAGTTTTCTTATTCCCCAAGGCAATCAAGGGAGTCATCCAAGAGAAAGAAAGATTACTAAAAATGCTGGCATTCGAGTAAGGGGTTACAGTAGCATCTCCTCTAGGTTTGTTTGACTCTAGACTAGTACCTCCACTACATGTACTACCATTCAAAAGGGGCTCCTCCAGAAGGGTATCCTCACCCTCTA